TGGGCTTGTTAATGATCAAAGGTCTTTGCTCCTTTGTGATCCCAGCTGAGAAGCCCTCAGGATGTCCAAAATGGAGCTCCTTTTACCCCCTTAAATCTTCAACATCTCCCATCTTCTGTAGCAGCTTGCACACTTTCCTCCCAATATTTCCAGATAGTTTCCTAAACTGGAAACTTCTCTTTAAAAACTTAGACCTGTAACTAAAAGGAGACAAATGAGAAAAACTAATTATTTTCTGTGGCTCTGCAGCCTGATCTAATGATGTGAGAAGGTTCTATTAATAGTTAAAGTTCTTAATCTTGAGTGGTTTAAATATTTGGCGAAATCCCGTATTTAGAACAATCGCATCATAACAGGAGATGATTTAAATGGAGTTTGTGTAGGCAGCCTCTTTTCTCAGGAAATTCTTGTGAAGTTGTGTGCCCTTGTTTTGTACTGCAGTAGGAAATTAGGCATCCAAGAACTTGAAATAATTAACTTTTAAATGGCCACATGTGTTGCTAAGCAGCCTGAGACAGAAGTGCTGCTGGGGCAGCCTCCACTGTGGGCACATGAACAACTTGGTGCATTGAAGGAACAATTTCTCTTTGAGCTCTGCCCTAGAGGGGTTGCTGCAAATGGAACTTTTACACGATGTGTGAGTCATGTCACAGATGCCATTCCTCGGAGTATTCATTTTACCCTGTTTTCCTTTATTGTTAAATATTTATGTTAACAGGAGAGGCCTTTCACAATGTCCCACTGTGGGAGGTCAGGAAGGTAAAAGCAGTCCTCGGCCTGTTAGTTTGGTATCTTGCTCATTTCCTAAGCTTGCAAAGGTGAAATGGATTCTTAAAGTCTCCATTTTTGCTAATTTTGTTTTAAGACTAGCATGAATTTTCCAGCAAACTAATCCAGGAAGTGGTTTTTAAGCTCTGAAGGCTGAAACTGCCATCTAACAGCCTAATGCAAAACTGAAACAGCTGCCAAAGCTAAACTGGGCATCAGGTGAAGTTTGCTTGGTATTTCTGTGGGTTTTGTCTGTTTTAATGCTGAGCTCATACACAAAAATAAGGAGAGCAGCAGAACAATAAAACCACTTTAGCCCAGTCCTGCTGCTGCAGATTGGAAGGAGGCACATGGGAGCAGATGGAAGGGTCCTTCACTTACACAAACCCAGTGATGAGGGATAGGAATTGTTCTGGCTCAGTTCTTATTTTCTCTGACTAGACTGAAGTCCTCTGCTTTCCTTTGGCAAGTGTTTTTTGTGGGAAGAAAAAAGGCTCTTTTCTCATAAATTGCTTTTCTTGGCATTGTCAGTGTACTACTTAATTTTAAACATTTTTCTCCTTTTCTCTGGAAACCTTTGCAGATAATGTTCATTAGTTGTGTGAGAAATCTTTATTTGTCTACTTTTTATCTGAAATTTTGGTGTTTAAATGTTAAGTTTTATGCTGGTAACATCAGCAGTTAGTGGGAAATCAGCAAAAATGAAAATGAGGGTTTAAAATTACACGTCTTTGTCATGCTGGTGTCAGGGTTCTTTATTTTTAAACGAAACTGAAATCTGATTCTCGCTGGGGGATGTTATGTTTTAGCTGAAATCATAATGCAGTTTTAAAATATGAGATTCCATGCTAATGAAAGAAGTGACAGGGCTATTTGTGGGTGATTTGTTCTTTGGTTTTGGGGTTTTTTTTAGGGAATATTTCATTTTCAGAAATCCAATATAAAATTTACAGAATGTTTCTGGTTAAAAACAGGAATGCAGTCAGGCTGAGTCTCTAAAGTTCTCTTTAAAAGCCATCAGTTGGAGTGCTTTAGTAACTCATATAAAGTGGTACCACTCATAAATAAGAGGTCAGCCTTTATCTTGGCTGCAATGCTGAAAGTACTTTACTAACTTGAATCATTATGGATTTTTGGCTGAAAAAGAATAGGGGTAAAAACTTTTTTCATGGAGATTGTGTTCATTTCGAGATCTCATTCTTCTGTGTTGCATGAAACAAAATCTGTCTTCTGATGGAAGTGTTCACTGAGTTGATCTTACTGAAGGAGTTTTAGTTATGATTTGTAAAAAGTTATGATTTGTAAGAAGATCACTTACGTTTTTTTCTGTATATATTAGGGTGAAACTTTGTTGTAGTGAAACTCAGTTTGTCAGTTAAGGTGTTTTGAATATCTCCTTTTGCTTGACAGTATTGTTGCTCAGAGCTTGATGTATTCTGGGTTTTTTTACTTGATTCTGTTGTGTTGCTTGTTTGGGTGTTTGTTTTTATCACCTGATTTCTGCCATTGAGATGCAAATAGGAGAAGCCACCCCTGGTGATGGATCCTAGAAGTGTCCTACTTACCCACAGAGCTGTGTTTCTGACAGGTTTCTACCTCCACATGGGAGGTGGGGATTCTTCAGCAGTGTCACTGCTGGAAAAAGTCCCTTTCACCATGTCACTTCAATTGCACTCTGCAGAGAGTGGCGGTTCAGTCAGCACCAATGCTGATGGGGAGTTGTCCTACTCCATTTTCCCTGCTTGCCTGGAGGTGTTACACAGCCCCCCCAAGGGCAGGAAAAAACCCTTGTATCTTTTTCCTTTCAGCAGGAAAAATGCCTTTCTGATATGGGTGGAGGGGAGAGTGGGTGGTTCTCCTTGGCTGGTTAGGAAACACTGCTTTTATGTAATCTCTTTTCACACTCCAGCCATGTGTGGAAAATAAAGGTTGGGTGTGGACATGATATCCTTCCATTAAGAGAACCTGGGAAATTCAGTGGCTGGCACAGCGATTTTATGGTTCTGTGGTGGGTAAATGGAAGCCAGACCTCAGAAGGAGTTTTTGCCTTGTGCTGTCTTAAGTAAACACTGAAAAATGAGAGTCCATACTCTTAAACCCAGCGCTCTTCCCCAGAAAGTGAAATCTCTCTGTCTGGGGCTGGAAAGCATTCAAAAGATTTTACATGTGGAATTTTTGGCAGAGATTGCAGTTGGCCTTTGGACAGGAAGGGAGCTGCACCTTTCAGGGATGACTTGTGTGTTTTCCCTTTCCCCTCCTTGCCCCTCAGTGGACTCTGCTGTGTTCATGTGCCCTTCCTCCTGCATTTCCAGCACCTCCTCTCCACTGCCTTGGTGTTGGTTTCCCTGGGGGACCCTTTTCTGTTGGGCTCTCAGGGTCTCTGTTCACATCTTGACCCCATCAGGGCCATCCTGCTTTTTTTCCTGCCCCAAAACCCTTCCAGTACATCCGAGCTGTGCTGCTCTGGGATGATTTGAAGGAGGGAGAGTGTGTGGTTTCAGGAAAGGTGCGGGCTGAGGAGCAGCCTCTGCTCGTGGGAAGGATCCTGGTGAGCCAGGGGATGTGGAGTCAAGAGCTCCTGGAATAAAGGGCCTGTAGTGGTACTTGGTGGAGCAGTTCTGAGACTCCATGTCACGTGCCCATCAGTTGTCCTCCAGTGTGGTTTTCGTCCTTAAAAGCTTTGCAACCATTGAACTGTGACACTGTTTTAATGTGCTCTAAATTTGGAATTGAGGTTTCTCTCTATATGGTCCTTAATCGAAAAATGTAATTTTTAGAAAACTGAGCAGAAATCCCTTTGGCCCAGCAGGAATTGAGGACCCTTCTGAATACCAAGTCCTACACTCAACTTTATTTCTTACTCTGTGTTCTGTCATCTTCAGGTGATACTTATAATCCACAAAATACAGCAAGAGATAAATATTCTGTGAATCAAACCCAATTGACTGTAGATTGTGACAGGAAATGCAGGTGGTGAGGAGACTTGATTTTTGGAACATTGATGGTGGGATTAACTTGAATAAACCAGGCAGGTCATGAGTGTCTGCAAGTGGCATTTCTTCTGCACAAGTTGTGGTTCAGTGCCAAAACACAGTTTAGTTCCTTGCCTGACTGGGTTATTGTGTATGTGCTGCTGTAGCTACCGTATTTCTCACTTCTTGCCTTTCATCTTTTCAAATCAATACCTTCTATTATTCTTTGCTTTTAAAATTAATGAAAAGAACAAGCCAAAAATATCCTCACCTCTTTTCCAATACTTGATTTTGTCCAGGCAAATACCATAGTTAAAGATTGTTGGTGTCTGTACTGAGAATAAAAATCTGATTTAGGTGCTTGAATATAATTTTTTGCTCTGCTAATGCAATTAATGTAAATTGCAAATATTCTCTAACAGCCTCAATAGGAAAAGTTTATGCACGTCTCAGAATTAAATAAATTTACCTAAATGGTATTATTCTCTCATGAGTGTAAAGCTAGCAGGCTGTGATGGACCTGGGAAAAACCCTGCTGCTGACACAGAAATCCAGAGAAGAACTGGTTTTGCTTTGCCAGTTTCCTCATGATGGCTGGTATTGCAGCTTGGAGTGGAAACTGGAGAACTGGGTTTGTCTTGGGAGATACTGGGCTTAAAGCAAACACAACAAAGCCAAATACACTGCTTGGATCATGCCAAAAAAGACTTTAAAAATAAAAGCTTCTGCTGGGGGCTTGTCTGTATGATACCAAAAGGAGAAGAGTAAAGGCATAAAGCAGGTGGTATGGCCCAGTGTGGCTGTGTTTGTGGGGCCTTTCAGAGCTTGCTTTAGTCATCTCAACTTTGAGCAGCGTTTGGTTGAGTTTGTTGAGGCTGCTCTCACACAAATGCAGGGTGTGAGGACACCTTGGGCGGGGAGAGCTGAGTAAGGACTGTGTGCCACTGGCAATGGCAGGTGTAGCTGCCCAGTGGTGTGCAGGGTCAGGGAATGAAAAGAAGAGCAGCTGCCAAGGCATGGCTCAGCCTATGTTGGTCACTGGCTTGGAGGGTGGAGATCCCTCAGTAAAGATCCCATTGTGAATGGGGAAATCTGGGTGTCGGCTCTCCCGAATCACCCGGCTCTCCTCATGGTGTTCCCTGGTTCTCTTGGGCGCTGCCTGTGGATCCCTTGGGTTTGTTGGGAACTGACTCCTCGTGCGCTTTCTCCCCTCTTCACCCTGGCCCTTCCTTCTGCTGAGGTTATTTGTTTGTTTTTCAGATGAGACCCTTTTTGCTCTTCCTGCTACACCTGCGCCTCTGATGCACTCCTCTGCAGGCAAGTTCTTTCTGCTCCCCTTTGTCTGAGTACCTCCTGCCTTTCTGACCTCATTAACCCTTTCCCACTAGTCTGCCTCTACTGAAAGTCAGCATGGGTCCAAGAATAGCCTCTGTCACATTTTTCAGTTTTGACTTTTCGGTTGATCTATTCCAGATTTTAATACACATTCATTTGTTTACGTGGTAAACTGTTTCATAAACAAGATGCAGCCATCTGTGAATTCTTGGACCCTTGATGTAGGAGAGAAGTTGGTGCTGTTAACAGGTTAACACATCAGAGCATAGTTGCTTTACTGATTTAGCAGAAAGATTTAATCTGTAGTAACTTTCTGCAGTATTTTAAAGAAGTAAAATTTGTACCTGTGGTATTGATTTAGTGATTTTTATTGGGTACAGCATCCACAAATTCCCATTTAAAAAAAAAATGTGTCAAAAAAAGACTTTTCTGGCACATGTTTGTGCAATATGTTTATGCCCAAGCATCCACACACCCCCTCTCTGTCTCCCCTTTGCCACCCTCCTGTTCTGGCTTTGTTAATATTGCCCCCCTGTACTTGTCTGGCATCTTCAGCTTTACTGAGATCTTTGCACTGCATAAAGTTGCTGCTTCTTGAGCCTCTTGTTCACTTCTCTCCTAGAAGTGAAGTAGAATAGCTTTAAGCGATACTGTGTATTAATGGCTCATAGTATCCATGACCTTGGAAGAGCCTTTTAGTAGCTAAAATCATGTGAACCTGTTGAAAGTTTGCACTGACTTTGAGAGCACTTGCATTCTCTAACTTTCCTTTCTATCCACGGTCACAGAAAAAGTTATGGACTTGCAGGAGCAGCCAGGTAACACTAAGTCGCTTGGTCAAGAGGATTTTTCTGCAGTCTCGCTTGATCCTGCTCCTTCTCTTCCCTCCTTCTCTCCTCTCTCAGCCGATCCCTTTAAAGAGCACGCAGCCTTTGGTACCATCTCAGATGGATTTCCTGCAAGAGGCACTTACAAAGAGAGCTCCAGTGAGGTTTATAAAGAACCTATGAAAAATGCCAGAAACCCCTTTCTTGCAGAGGGAAATGATAAAGACATTTCAGACATGAAACACTCACAGCCCCCATTTGCTAAAGAAGAAGCAGCCATTTTATCTCCAGCTAAAGAAAAAACACAGCTAGAGGGCCCTAAAGAATTACCTAACCTGGAGAAAACGCCTGCACAGCAGCTGAAAATGTCTCCAGAATCTCCCCAAGATTTATTTGAAAGAAATGAGGAAGATGACTCCTTTAACAAAGACAAGTACGGAGGAAGTGGCGATCATGGTGAAAAAGGGGTGCTGAAAGAAGACCCTCTTAGGAGGGAAGAATATGCAGACTTCAAACCATTTGAGCCAATATGGGAAGTCAAAGGTGCTAGTCACGGACTGAGCAGCATGAGAGAGGATGTTGGAAGTAAGATAGATGCCAAGCTGGAGAGCAGTTTGGATGACAAATATGGTGTGGGTAAGCTGAATGTGCAGAAGGATTACGAAAGAGAGAGTGAAGGCAGTGCTGAAGAGCCCTCCTTCCCCAGCACCCCAGAAGCTGTAAAAGAACCTTCGCAGAATTACATCACTTGTACTAAATTTGACGCCCCTCCAAGTCCTGGTGGTAACAAAGGCAAATCTCTTTCTCCACTAGAGGAAGGCACTTCAGAAAATAGAACAGACGATGAGAAAAAAATTGCAGAACTGAAAGCTCAGACGGGCCCAGAACAAGGTAATTTTGCTGCTGGAGCCGCTGGGCAGGAAGGACAGGGAGCTGACCCTGCTAAATCCCAGGGGGTCCCGCCGGTGCCGCCCGACAGCGCCGCAAACATGCCCGAGGGTCTCACTCCTGACCTGGTGCAGGAGGCGTACGAGATGCACGATGCAGCCTGCACAAAACTGGCTTACGAACCCAAGATTGATTTAGTGCAAACCTCCGAGGCGGCGCAGGAGACGCTGAAACCCGCGGCGCAAATCTGCCCCTCCTTCGAGGGCTCGGAAGCTGCTCCATCCCCGATATTGCCGGATATTGTTATGGAAGCCCCGCTAAGCACCGGTGCTGCTGGGGCAGAGGCATCTGCTGTGCAGCTGGAAGCTTCCCCACTAGAAACATTTATGCCCGCTGCCAAGTACGAGAATGTAAAAGAGGCTGAAAAACCTCCTGTGTACCAAGAGGCAGTGAAGGTACCACTGACACAGGCCCAGGAAGCAAAGGAGACACTGGCATTTAAACAACCTGATGGTGAGAGTAGCAGCACTCCTGAAGATCTGGAGACTCCTTATATATCTATTGCATGTGACTTAATTAAGGGAACAAAAGTTTCTGGTGAATCTCCTTCTCCGTCTTTCACAGAGTATTCAAAGATGCCGGTAACAGAAAGCATTTCTCAGGATGTGCCTGAAGACAAGGAGCTAGATGGAACCCTGTCTCCACAGTTTGGAAAAGCTGGCCTGTTTAATAGCCAGATGATATCTGACTTTGCTGAGGAAGAAAGTGAAGATCCATCTCTCTTTAAAAGTAAATCCACTGAGAGTATTGCCACTGATGAAGAACATGAGGAAGGACTGGTGGATTCAGTAGCTGCCACGGGCAAGCCTTATCTGGAGTCATTCCAACCTGAGCTGGACTCTTCCAAAACTGTTGCTGCTCCACCATCTGAGCCAATAATAGCCAAGGCAGATAAGATTCCTCTTCAAATGGAAGAGCTGGATGCTTTGGCTTATTCAGCTGATGTATCTGTTGCTATGGAACCAAAAACAGGAGATGACAAAGCTCTCTCACCCATGGAGTCTTCCCCAATCTCAGAGGAAGAAGACTTTGTGATGTTAGGTCATCCTAAAACTATTCCTGAATTTGTGACAGAAGCCACTGACCGAGAAATAATGCACAAAGGTGAAGACATCAGTAAGGTGATCCAGGGTGAGAAGAGGCAGTTGCCTTGCCCAGAGCTGCCCTGTGATCTGTCTATGAAGAATGTAGAAGTAAAAGCTGAGGAAGACACCAATGCCTTGAAAAAGTCTTTGGAGGCTGTGGACAGAGAAGTGCCTGAAGTATCCACCATGTCCTTACCAGCCACAGATACCTCACCTTTATCTGCTGAAAAAGAGCTAGTCAGTGTAGTAAAACCAAGAGCTTTTGAGAAGGAAGCTGAGAAAGAAGCTGCTTCTGTTAAAGAAAAGAAAAAACCTACTGCTGTATTTTCAGCAAAGCTGAATAAGTCTTCAGGTAATCCATGTATGCTGTCTTGCAGTTTGCTGGTCTGCATAATTCTTTAGCTAAACTTAAGCATGTCTTGACTTACTCTTTTAAAATCACTTTCTGTAAACTTCTCTGTAGACCAAGGGTAACAAAACTTCTCTGTAGACCAAGGGTAACAAAATGTCGGTGCCTGCACTTGTACCTTATTCATATTCTGATTGCTTTAGTAGCTTTTTTCTGTTTATCAGGGGTGGACTCAGCATCTCCAGGTTTCTCCTCCAGCTCTTCTGCTTGATGCAGAAATAAGTGGCTGCTCACTGCAGGCCCTTCGCTGCTCACTGCAGGCCCTTCCATGCCTGTCCACAGGCTGGGCACAGAGTGGCCACCCAAACTCTGAATCTGGGCTGCTGCTTGCTGTGTGCACATGTTTTGAAGAGCCATTTCTTCCTTTTCATTAACAGTTCAGACATCAGACTGTAAAACTCAGGAAAATACCCCTGCTGCTCCTGTATGTGCCTGGAATCTGGAAAAGAGCCTGTGCATCTCCAGCCTGCCTTAGATAAGGCTGGTGGTTTAAAGCAAGTGGAGAACGTGAGGGAGTTTAGTGTGCAGGTTACTGGAAAAGTGCTCATTAGGAAGTTGAATGTTCTGCAAACACTAAAATCAGCATATGCACAGCACAGGTATTAATTTCTGTTTCTCTTTTCAGGCAGGGCTTGCACTTCAGTGTAGTTAATTTTTCTCACAGTAATATGCAGTCACAGTAGCAGGAAGTTGTATTCTTTTCTCTAAACTGAACACCTCATGCATTTCCAGCTTTTTGTAGATTAGGGGAATACTTTGCTTTTTGATATTGCAGCACTCTGCTGCTACTTAAGCTTTGACCAGAAGCAATCACACAAAAAAAAAACCAGCTACTGCAGAAAGCACAGTGCTCTAAATAGAAAAGCAGGAGTTAGTTTGACTCAGCAGCAGTACTGTATTTATGCAGTAGCTCCAGCCTACAGTTCATAAAATAGGATTACAGAATACCCTGAGTTGGAAGGGAATGGCAGGTGTATGTTGAAGTGCACATCAGTGTTGGTGCAATTGAAATAGGTTTGGGAAATAAGGTAGATGATGTGTTTTTTATATTTACCTTTGCCATTTTTCCTGTCTCACCTCCTCTACATACAGGTAAGGCAGAAAGGGCAGAGTTTTGCTTTTCCCTTGGGGTAAAACTTCATGGATAACCTGCACTGCTGAAGCTCTTAGTGTGTCTGTGTGTTCTGTGAAGGCTTCCAGCAGACAGAACTGTCTAGAGAGCAGCTGTGTGTCTTGGACTTCATGTCAAGGGGTTAATTGCTTAGAGCTCAGACTACTTAAAAACAAACCCAAAAACAAAACACTGCACTTAATAGAAGAGCTTTTGTGTTAGTTGTTTTTAAAGGGAGGCCTTTGCAGAGGGTCTTCAATCATTGCATTGGGGCTGGCAAGTCCCTGCCTGGGGCAGGCAGCCTCTGGCTGTGGCTCTGAGGAGGACACAGCTGCTGCTCTTCCATCCCTGGGAAGTTGCCAGAGCAGAGAGGAGGAGCTGAGCAGTGTCATGGCTCTCCCATCCATGGCCCAGTGCAGGGACAGGGCCCAGCAGGGTGCTGTGAGCTGGGCTGGGGAGCTGCAGCCTCCCAGTGTTGTGTTCACTCTGGAGAGCAGCTGGAATTTTCATTTTTGATGTGCTGTGTTGTTTGGGAAGAAAATTTTTTTGCTTTATGCCAGAGCTAAATAGATGAGACTACCAACTCAAAACTGGGCCTTTTTTTTTCCTGGATTTTTCTCCACACTCTGCTGTGTTGCAAAATACAGAACTGGACTTCTGAAACAAGCCACAGACATAATTTGTCTGCTTTAAATACCACCCTGCTTAGGCACAATTTCAGAGCTATCATTGAAGAACTAACAAGGAGGGATTGTTCATCACAAGGCCAAGTACATCTGTGCATGTGTTTGGCCTTCTGAGTCTACCTTTGTTCTTTGGGGCTTTTTTCCCTACCAGTCAGTGGAACTGAAATAGATTTTGCTGTGTCTTAAGACTCGTGGAATTCAGCTGGTGTGATGGTGTGACTGATGCTTGTTAAAGCTTTAATCTCAGCTGCCTTACTGGTGCACTTAAATCCAAGGTTGTGGAATGCTTACTTAATAGTGCTATTTTTCAGAAGCTAACCTACATGCCAGTGTGTTGTAACTTCCCACAGCCCCAGTGGGCTGCAGGGAGCTAACAGGTATTCTAAAAAGGTTGCAGATACTTTTTAAACTTCCCCATTCCACTGAGGCAAATGGAAAAGTTTGAAGAGCCTCCTGGGTAGAAGGAGGTTTGTTAAATGGTGCCTGGCACACCCTTGAGTAACCTGGAGAGATCTAAGAAACACATAAAAGCAAAAAAAAACCCAAACCCAAACAAATTCAGAAGAGTGGGTAACAACAGGAACAGTTTTAAGGGCAAACACCCCTCTGTAACACCAGCAATTTCTGCTGTCTTGAATACAGTGGTGGGTTTTTTCCCAAGTTTGTATTTCTCAGTAGCTGCTGTATTTGGCTTTGAGCAAATAGCTGTGTTTCTCTGTCACCTTCAGCAGACCTCACATACGCATTCCTGAGCTCCATCAATGCTCTGCCTGCTGAGATGTGACCTCAGAGGGCAGTTCCTGTGTGTTCCTGTGTGCCTGCAGCAGGCACTGGGGAGCCCTGGGTTAGGACCAGCCTGTGTGACAGGGCTTTAATGCCATCTAGTGTTTGTCACCGAGGTGGAACCTCAGTGCCTGCCCGACAGGAGGGATCCATCCAGGTCTGGACAAGTTGCCAGCTCCTGAAGAGAGGTGAAAGCTAAATATACACTTTCCATATCTCAGCCCTTCTGTTGCACTGACTTTCTTCTCTCATACAGATCATTAATCCTCCCCAAGCCCATGCTTTCCACAAACCTGCTTTTGATTGATGGGATGTAGAGGCTTTTATATCATTGATATTATTGAATTATAGACTCAAAATCTCTGGCCACAACAAAGTTACTTACTGAAATGGACATTGGTGGATTCAATCCCTCAGTGTGTCCATGTTGAGTATTACAATAATATTTAGAAGTAATCAAGACACTCAGTTTCCCAGAATATCCTTGTGTCATGGTGGGTTTGACCACCAGCTCTGTAGATATTCCCTTCAGATTAAATCTAACTGCTTTATATGCTTTCATTACAGGCACTAAGAAATGCAGCTAATTAATAATATTTCCTAGATTTTCTTGAGGGGGCAAATATAAAGGTGAAGCTCAGGTGGGAAATGTGCTTTGACAGGGTGGTACTAATGCTGAATCTTTCCTTTATCTTCCTACAACATGGGGGGCAGAAATCAAATACTTCCTGTGATGCTGTAACAGAAGGACGCTTAAAGGAAATTCTGCCTGATACCAGCTGCACCCATTTGGGGAATTTCTGCTGTTTTCTGTGTTTGTAGTGAGTTAAATGGAGCCACTCAGCAGATGAGAGGTGTTTGGGTTGGTTTGTTGTTTTTCACTGGAGAAAAAAATGCCTTGGAATGCCTCTGAGTTTATTTCAGAAGCAGATTGGTAAAATTTAATTCAACATAAATATCTTTATTTAATTTCATCTCATTGTATTCTTAGATTCTTTGCTTGTTCAGGTCATCTTTTATGCTATCAGGTAAATAGTAATAAATGGAGAGTTCCAAAGGGCAGAGAATTTGCGGAGGAGGAGGAGAAATGAGGAAAAAACCAAACCAAGTGAGTGAAATTTTTCTGAAGGAAAGATACAGACCTGCTGTGTTTCATTAGAGCTCATGACCCCTCTTGAGAGACTTGTGTTGCTGAGGCTGCTAAAAGAGCAAAGCCTGAGGGAAGTTCCTTTGGAGTGGCACAACCAGGGAGAAAATGGAACATTTTTGGGCCAGGTTCCCACCTTTGCCAGATAGGCACCAGCACTGAGGGAGGTGCAGTGCTGCTGTCAGGGTGAGTAGTGAGTGAGTAAAGCACTCACCCTGCCCCGCGGAGCCTGGGGCATTCCATGCCACGTGTCCAGAACTGATTGTGTGTGACTTGTCTGGGGGAGCTGATAATGCCACCTCCTCTGTGCTTGGCATTCAGACATGCTCTGGAGGCAGCTGTGCAATATCCCTGCTGCAAACAGCTGCTCCACAGGTTTGGCAGTGCTGGTGCCCAGTTCATGTGCAGAGTAGGGTCCCCTGGTGCCTGGAACGGGAGATGGATTTCATGGTGGTGTTTGCATGGAGTGGTGAGAGTGAACACTGAGTATGCAGAGAGTAAAGAGGAGGCTCTGGAGGAGCTCCTGGAGGGCGGTGAGGGAAATGTGGAGCAGCCGCTCTGCTGTGGCCACAACAAATTCTGCATAGGCAGAGTTGCACAAATGCACTATTTTAAAAGATAAAGGATGTAAATATAAAATCAAGAGGCTTTAATTTGGTATCTTTATAAATTTGATAATTAATGGAAAGACTTTTGCAAACAATATACATTCCCTACTTCCCTCCTAATTTGGATTTGTTTGGATTTACCTGTTGAAATTGGAACTGAAATGCACATCTTTGTAAAAGTTAAAAGGAGATGTAACTGTTCCTGCTGTCAAAGGAGGCCTTAAATTTATGTAGCAGTTGAAGTCAAACCCAGGGCTTTTGGGTCTCTTTCTAGTAATCCTTCTCAATGTTAGATTGTTCTAATGAAAAGTGAAACTGTCTATTTAAAGTGTGAATTGGGATCTCTAGCCCTCCCGGTCTACAGCATTTTTGTGGAAATGTGGGAATGCCCTTTTCTTGTTCTTAAGAAAACGGTGAGAATGTTCTTAAGAAATGGTGACATTTAAGAGGCTTTGGAACAGTCCAGGGAATATTTTAGCATTCTGTTGTTAGCTCCAGACCTTAAGCAAATCAAAGCTGGAAAAGTTGTGGTTTTTTCAGCAGAGAAAACAAAATGACAACAGGATTCCCACAGCTCTTCTCTTTCAGATTCAGTCTCCTGACTCTGT